AGGTATCTTTGGTAGTGACCTTCTTTTGTGTCTCGAGGTCGAATATGTCGTCCAACAGAATTTCCAACTCTACTTTCCGGGCCATCTCACTCGGTCTGGACATAACATGACAGTTTATGCCCAGATTTAGGAGAGTGACTTGGTCCTCAGTGAGGTTAATTCCTGCAAGGTTCAGGAAGCCATCTCTTGGTCGTGGAATTGCCATAGGTCCTCCATATAATGTTGTTAGTTTCTTGATAATCCTTGTTTCAGTGCTGAGGTGATGTTGGTCTGTGAGGATGTCGAGGTGTTGTTCAATGCGGGTACGGATACTATCGTCGATGTTGCTATTTCTCCACTCGTTTGTAGCATGAAGTAGTTCATGCTACAAACATGAACACTACTTCATGCTACAAACGAGTGGAGAAATATTCGACCTCGAGACACAAAAGAAGGTCACTACCAAAGATACCTTACAAGCAGAACTTATTGCAGAAGGAGGAAAGAATCGAGGCAATTACAGAAGCACCATACTGTCCCCCGAGCTTAAAGCGGCAGCTAAAAGCCTTCGTGAGAACAAGGAGATAGTTGTCAGGAGAGGTGACAAGTCGCCAATATATGTCATTCTTAAAAAAGACGAATATCTGGCGAAAATGAACATCATACTTTCTGACCAAACTAAGTTCCAAAGGGTAACGAAGGACACTACAGCCGAATTAAAAGCAAAGGTCAACAAACTGATCGAAACTTTGAACGCCAAGAAATCCGGACTCCACCTGCCAAAGATCATTGGGGAATATAAACCTGGATATGCGTATGGAAATGTCAAGACACACAAGCCTGGAAACCCACTTCGGCCAATCATTAGCCAGATACCCACACCCACGTACAGACTGGCGAAGCGACTCAACGGCCTGCTGACTCCTTATGTTCCTTGCGCCTTCTAGTGGCTTTCAAGGAATGAGATCCGTGACGCAATTAACTTAAAGTGGGAAGGGAAAGAAAGTTAAGAACTTAAGATTATAATTACCATCACCTATAAATAATATATAAAAAGAGTACACAGGGGGAGGGGTATTAACACTATACAGGGGAAATACAGAATGGTCTTCTCCTGAAGACTATGGATCCTCGCTCTCTCTCGGTGCTGAGTCCTCGGTGCTTTCGTGGCCACACAACGAATTCTCTGAGAAGTTGAGCCTACCCTGGCCACAGGTCAGCCAAAACACAGGTCCACTGGGGGCACCGCCGTGGAGGCCGTCAACCACAAATCCAGCAGGGGGCTCTGCTGGCAGGTTCCAGACCCGCAACGCTGGTCAGGCCACTCCACGAACGATATTAGGGGAACGCCCTAGACAGAAGCCTCGTGTGACACCACAAATCACTCTCCTGTCCTTAATACCCCAGTGGATGATCGTCTCCAACAGTCGGTCCCGGGAACGACGATCCTTTCAACTGCCACTCCACTGGCAGGGTAACACCACAGTGTTCTTCCAGGGGACGACTTCACAGCTGCTGCAGCAAAGCACACGGTATGGAGACGGCTGCCTCGGGTAGACTGACTCAACTTCCAACACAGCGGTCCCAGGACGACTCTGTAAGCAGACACGTCATCAATAACTGGGACACAGTAAGGCACCTCACTTACAGGTTCAGACACAAACGCCCACCTATCCACTCCATAGATGGCGCTGGTGTCTGAGCACCACCTCACCAGAGGTCAGCAGCGGCTGTGTTGAGCGCTGAACAGTACTGGAAACTGGCCCTTGTGGCCGGTATTCGCCGTCCTCACCAGGTGTCGTCGTCCGTTTGGCGGGGGTTTCGGGAGCTGACCCACAGATGGCGCGGTTGTCACTGCTCCGTGCTCGGACACTGGATCCGGGTTCGTAACACGGAATGATAGCCGACAGAGTGTATCGTGATCCAGCCTGTACTCCTCTTGACATACCAGAAAATATTCTGAGGAAACTACTCCAAGCTTGTACTAAAGAGGCACCCTTCTTGAGCCCGGATGGGCACATGTATAAGCAAGTAGATGGGGTCGCCATGGGTTCTCCCCTAGGTGTCCTGTTTGCAAACTTCTACATGGGTACCATCGAGCAAAAAGTCTTAGTCAACATGAACTTGAAACCGGCCATATACTGCAGGTATGTTGACGACATTTTTACACAGGTACCTGATGTCAGACATTTGCAGGAGCTGAAGGAGGCATTTGAGCAGAGTTCCGTGCTGCGTTTCACTTACGAGATGGAAAAGGATGGGAAGCTGCCCTTTCTAGATGTAACAGTCATGGAAAAGGGCGGAGGTTTCCACACTGCAGTCTACACTAAGGAAACAAACATAGGAATGTGCCTAAATGCCAACAGCGACTGCCCAGACAGGTACAAGAGGAGTGTTGTTAACGCATATGTCGACCGTGCTCTCAGCCACAGCTCAGAATGGAAGCAAGTCGACGAAGAACTCTGTAGGGTAAGGCAGGTCCTAGTCAATAACGGCTTCTCCAATGGTTTCGTCGAAGACATCATAAGAAGGAAAGTGAAAAGCCATGCAACCTCTGAAGAGACAACAAACACAACACCTATACCCCCTATTAGACTATTTTACAGGAACTTCTTTTCCACAGCTCATAAAACGGAGGAAAGGGTCCTGAAAGATATTGTTAATAGAAACGTTATCCCTACAGACAAAAATCAGAGGATACAACTGACGATTTACTATAAAACCAGAAAAACGGCCAGCCTACTCATGAGAAACTCTCCAGACACAAAACAGAACGCTTTAAAAGAGACTAACGTCGTCTATGCCTTCAAATGCCCTCTTGGGGACTGTAAGCTCCAAAAAACCCAGTATATAGGCAAGACAACATCTCTTTCTAGGCGTTTAACGATGCATAAGCAACAGGGCTCCATTAAGGAACATATAATCTCTTCCCACAACCAAACCATCGCCAGAGAAATCCTAGTAAACAACACAGAAATCATCGATAGATACAGCGATAGCAGGCGGCTTGACGTTTGCGAGGCACTACACATCAAGAAGTCAACACCAGCAATCAACAGCCAATTATTGCACAACTATATTCTACCCACCTCAAGACTCCGCTCCAATATAGAAGCATCAAGAAATATGGACCAATAGGCTTTCTACAAACACTTCTATTCAATATCCATTGTTTCGTGTTCTGTCTTGTGTTGATGAAATTAATACCCTATTAATACTCTTGTTCTGTCTTGTGTTGATGAAATTAATACCCTATTAATGCCACATCTTGTTCTGTCTTGTGTTAATGCCACATCACCCCTTCCACCTCACTCAAATGTAGATATAAAATCGGAGATGCGTAAGTTCTATTCAGTTGTGTATTTGTGAACTAAAGTCTTTGAAAATGTAATAAGTTTTACGAAACGCGCTCGTGTCGCGTCAGACTAGAAATAAAAATGAATTTTGGAGAATTGATTTTTGATTTACCTCCAACAGTGAAAAGAAATGTACGAAAGATTGAGAAAATTCGTGTTAGAATTATTAATCTTACTTTTTCGGTCATATTTAATAATATATGTCTACAGGAAAGACTGCTATCAAAATATACTATATATATATAATATATATATATATATATATATATATATATATATATATATATATATATATATATATATATATATATATATATATATATATATATATATATATATATATATATATATATATATATATATATATATATAATTCGCCTTCATCAGAGCAAAGTATGAAGATAATATCAGACCTTTAATCCGCCTGCTGATTCATATATATATATATATATATATATATATATATATATATATATATATATATATATATATTATATATATATATATTGCATTTGTGCTACGGCAGCTGCATTTGTGCAGCTGCCGTAGACTATATGAAGGGGAGTACAGTGTGTCAAAAAAAGTAACTACGTGATGTTAAAATAATCCCCATCACACAGGATGGTTAGTCATACAGAGGCATGTGATAAGTAGTCTACACTGGCAGACTCTGGGTGCATTATGAGGATATCATCAACAGTGAATATGGTAGCAGTGATACTGAGTCGCCATCTCGCAGGATGGTTAGTCATACAGGGCCATATGTTCTGTAGCCGGCACTGGCAAATTTTGGGTGAAATATGAGGATATACTCAAGAACATGAGAGTTAATAAAGTAATGACAAAGCTCCAGGTACCTCATGCCAACGGGTCTGAATGGTGTAATAACTGGGCATTCATTGATGTAGTGTGGGAGATCATGCCGCAGTTCCTGCTGGTGGTTCCTCCTGGTAATAGTGATGAATTTCTAGGGGCTCGCCCAGCCAACTTTCAACTATTTTGGTTGGGGTCACCTTGGGAGTCGACCCCCTTTTAATAAAGGTAGGGACGACCCCCTTTTTGCTGGAAGTAATGGGACCGAACCCATTTTATTGGAAGTACACTGTAGAGTGAAGCCAACCCCTTTTACTGGAAAAAGTGGGGGCCAGCCCCATTTATATGAACAGCACAAGTTGGTCACCCTTCCCCCCCCCCTTCCCTCAGCAGTCATCAAAGTGGGAAGAGACAATTATGAAGCGTCTGAACTACACCCTTGAACAAAGACAGACATTCTGTCTTACAGATATAAATGTTCCAACAGGCTTTATGTTGCTGTTAAAAAAGTCCCTATTTATATATACCTATCACTAGTTGCCTTTCCATTAACAATTTACAAGCCAGCAGACACTAGTGTTTATAGTGAACGTGTAGCCATCAGTAACCCAAGCAGAGGGCGCCGCTAGACTGTTGATGATCACAGCCTGAAGGTTGGGTGTGGCCTGGTCGCGCGCCCTCGCACTAAACTGATCCAATTAGAACTATTAATGATCTCCCTTCGCTCCCACTTCGTCCCCAGCCACTTAATGTTTATTTGGACGTTGAGGAAAGACATTTGGCCTCGCTGTACAGCCTCTTGCATACATAACCTCTTTAGTCCGCTCAAGTTTGTATCAGAGACGTGTTCAACTACCAATAGCTTGGTTTATTATATTTACCTTTCTTACTCTTATTCTTACCTTCTTCTTGAGTCTTCCTTTGGAGACCACGGGAAAACTTCCTCCTCACACCAAGGGACTGTGCTCCCAGGGACTGTGCTCCCAGGAACTGTGCTCCCAGGAACTGTGCTCCCAGGGACTGTGCTCCCAGGAACTGTGCTCCCAGGGACTGTGCTCCCAGGGACTGTGCTCCCAGGAACTGTGCTCCCAGGGACTGTGCTCCCAGGAACTGTGCTCCCAGGAACTGTGCTCCCAGGGACTGTGCTCCCAGGAACTGTGCTCCCAGGAACTGTGCTCCCAGGGACTGTGCTCCCAGGGACTGTGCTCCCAGGGACTGTGCTACCAGGAACTGTGCTCCCAGGGACTGTGCTCCCAGGAACTGTGCTCCCAGGGACTGTGCTCCCAGGGACTGTGCTCCCAGGAACTGTGCTCCCAGGGACTGTGCTCCCAGGGACTGTGCTCCCAGGGACTGTGCTCCCAGGAACTGTGCTCCCAGGGACTGTGCTCCCAGGGACTGTGCTCCCAGGGACTGTGCTCCCAGGAACTGTGCTCCCAGGGACTGTGCTCCCAGGAACTGTGCTCCCAGGAACTGTGCTCCCAGGAACTGTGCTCCCAGGAACTGTGCTCCCAGGAACTGTGCTCCCAGGGACTGTGCTCCCAGGAACTGTGCTCCCAGGAACTGTGCTCCCAGGAACTGTGCTCCCAGGGACTGTGCTCCCAGGAACTGTGCTCCCAGGAACTGTGCTCCCAGGGACTGTGCTCCCAGGGACTGTGCTCCCAGGGACTGTGCTCCCAGGAACTGTGCTCCCAGGAACTGTGCTCCCAGGAACTGTGCTCCCAGGGACTGTGCTCCCAGGGACTGTGCTCCCAGGAACTGTGCTCCCAGGGACTGTGCTCCCAGGAACTGTGCTCCCAGGAACTGTGCTCCCAGGGACTGTGCTCCCAGGAACTGTGCTCCCAGGAACTGTGCTCGCAGGAACTGTGCTCCCAGGGACTGTGCTCCCAGGAACTGTGCTCCCAGGAACTGTGTTCCCAGGAACTGTGTTCCCAGGAACTGTGCTCCCAGGAACTGTGTTCCCAGGAACTGTGTTCCCAGGAACTGTGCTCCCAGGAACTGTGTTCTCAGGAACTGTGCTCCCAGGAACTGTGTTCCCAGGAACTGTGCTCCCAGGAACTGTGCTCCCAGGAACTGTGCTCCCAGGAACTGTGTTCCCAGGAACTGTGCTCCCAGGAACTGTGTTCCCAGGAACTGTGCTCCCAGGAACTGTGTTCCCAGGAACTGTGCTCCCAGGAACTGTGTTCCCAGGAACTGTGCTCCCAGGAACTGTGTTCCCAGGAACTGTGCTCCCAGGAACTGTGCTCCCAGGGACTGTGCTCCCAGGGACTGTGCTCCCATGCAGGTAACACCACCTTTACCACAAGTAACACCACCTTTACTTTAAGAAAACTAAACTGGCCACCAGTTGAGGTAAGACCGTCAGAAGACTATACACAATCTTCATGCCCAACCGTCGAAGTGGTTGGGCACCAATTCCTCCCCCCCCCCCCCCCCCACACACACAACGTCCCATTCCAAATTCTTGTCCTGATCTTTTTCCTAAGACAAGTCAAGTATTAATGGCTTGGCGCTTTCTCTTGGCGGTTCCCTCCCTTCCCCCCATAACCTTTCATCGTGGAACATAGAATATGAATAACATAGAATAAAAGATGTTTCAGTGTTATACATTACCATTTATTAAATTGATACATGATAAACATAAATTATTGAATAATTCTTCACGTGTCTGATCTTACCCCCCCCCCCACCTCACACGCTGATAAATCTCTGTGTTTCTGTTAAATTTGATAAATCAGTTATAGACAAGATGATGAGTGACAATAACGTGGCTGAAGAATGTTGACCAGCCACACACTAGAAGATGAGGAGACGAGGCTTCGCTCCGTCCTCGACGTCTCCTCATCGAGATTGTCTCGTCTCCAGACGAGATTGATTGATGAAGATTAAGCCACCTGAGAGGTGGCTTAATCCATAAAAGCCACGTAAAAGAGACGAGGGAGGCACGGGCATTAAGTAAGGCAAGAGAGAGGTGACGAGGAGAAAATCTTAGAGACGTCGTCGTCTCCTCATCTTCTGGTGTGTGGTTTAGTTAACAATTATAAACAATACACTACTCATGTCACCTCTCCGCCTGGTGCCTCACTATATCTCCGTCAGTGCTTTATGGTGTGATAACCGCGTCAGTAATGACTGCTGTCAAACCACAGGTGAAACTATGTACTTGACAGGGGCGCTGAGCAACGTATTGGTATATGTATGTGGGCCAAGGCCGCCGCCAGCCGCTCCCCCCTACTAATCTGGTACAGCGCGCGGCACCCTGCACCTCACTTGTCCACACATCACAATGGTGTCCTGATCTAAGATGCTTCCTTAGTCGCATTTCCCTTCGATAACAGTCATAAATATTTGGTAGTTTATGTAATTATATTGAAATATCGTTGTTTCTAATAAGGCATTTAGCTATTTTTCTTGAGATCATCTGTGACTTCCCGCGTCAGGTGAGGGAGCCATCTAGTGGACAACTGACGTACCCGACACTCCCGTAAACACCAGTGCTTGAGAGTCCTGAACACAAGCGTGAACCACATCACGAAAGATGGAGCTGATGGTGGTCACAATACCCGCCATACTGAACTGTCCTTCGGTAATGGACATCCTCCGGTTCTGATTGGTTTACTTATCCGGATGATCGACGTAAGCGGACGCTCTGGTTCCGTCTGGTATGCGGCATACAAGCAAGCTCTCTATGCATTATAATTCATGATATGTTATATTTCGTGTGCAATCGTCTAATTGACCAGACCACACACTAGAAGGTGAAGTAACGACGACGTTTCGGTTCGTCCTGGACCATTCTCACAATCGACTTGAGAATGGTCCAGGACAGACCGAAACGTCGTCGTCTCTTCACCTTCTAGTGTGTGGTCTAGTTAACATACTTCAGCCATGTTATTGTGACTCCTCGTCTGCAATCGTCTAATTGTTATTGTAGTCTCGTGGTTACAGAAATAGAGCCATACTCAGATGGGTAATCGCATATAGTTTGTGTAACATAAATATTGTCGAAGTTGCCAATGGCTTCCGTTTTCAACCCTGTTATTTCTTAAATTGTACATGTTGATTTTTTACCATGGTAAATATGGTTTATATTTACAACTTTTGCATCTTGATGTACCACACACTGAAGCAACACTGTACCACACACTGAAGCAACACTGTACCACACACTACAGCAACACTGCAGCAACACTGTACCACACACTGCAGCAACACTGTACCACACACTGCAGCAACACTGTACCACACACTGCAGCAACACTGTACCACACACTGAACAATATACTAACTGAAGACAACATCGCAGACCATATACACTGACGGATCACTCAATACAGCTACAGGGAGGGCAGGAAGTGCCGTTATTGCTCATCAGCCCGATGGCAGCACAATTCAAATATCCGAATTAGTAACTGGGCGTCCACAATGCAAGCAGAGTTGGTAGCAATACTGGTAGCACTCGAAATTATTGACAACACTGAAGTAGACAGCTTAATTATTTCCGACTCCCTTTCCTCACTACGAGCAATAAACAGTTTACAATCAAGTAATAACGTGCTTGTCTTGGAAGCTAGACGTAGATATATAAGAATACTTAGCAAGAGAGTAAATATAAAAATGTTGTGGATTTCTTCTCACTTTGGCCTGCAGGAACATGACAAAGTTGACGCCCTTGCTAAGGCTGCAGTAAATAAAGACAGTATTGAACGGAATCTTGAGTTATCAAATAGGTCCCTTAAAAGTGTCATTAGACGAGAACTCCTGGATGAATTTGAAGAAAGTTGAAGAGTGCAAACTGGAACTAGCAGGTCCATTGTTCATCACAATGAAATGTGTGAAGTAAAACATGTGTGTATGAGGCAAGTAACAAAGTCAGTAGACTAACAGATGTTGTCACAGCTCGTATAAGACTTGGCTATAAGTATCTCTGGCAGTTCGGCTTGTATAGGGATCTAGATGAAGTAAAGTGTAAAGTGTGTGGACAAAGACAGGGACACACACTCGAACACTGTATCTTGGATTGTAGTAAAATTGAGCCATTTAGAGATAAATCTAAGCTCACTCTGTATGATATGGCAACCTATCTTATTACCATGGATAAAATATCTGAAATCCTTGCACTGTATCCATATTTCGCTTCCAGTAGATAAACGAGATATGAGATTCAGAAACACGTAGTGTATTGTGAGGACTAATAATAAACAGAAGCTCCCCTATGACTCTGTAATATCTCCATTGGTCAAACTATTATGTATTAGCGATAAGACCTACCATTAATGTATAATGACTTACTGTAAATATATAGCTCTTGAAATAGCACTTTCTTTGTAACTCGCTGACATTGTAACTATAAGGTGTAAAGTATAGATGAAATTGTTTATGTAATAATCTAAGATGAGGTCTGATAAAGACCTTTTGTGCCCTCTGTAATGCTTTTTGCGCTCCCGCTCACAGGATGAGTATGGGGTGCACAATAAACTAGCACAACAAACAGACGTGACATCTATATAACAGGTATATAAAAATACGCTCGTGTGCGAACGAAACGATGTGTCAAAATTTCAAAGCACTCGGTGAGGAACTTTCTGAGATTAGCGATTTTGAACAAACGAACATTTACATGTTTATTTATATAGATTAAATAAGGTTGAGCTGAGGACAGTGTCAGAGTAGTTAACAGATGGAGTGCATTAGGCAGTGATGTGGTGGAGGCTGACTCCATACACAGTTTCAAATGTAGATATGATAGAGCCCAATAGGCTCAGGACCCTGTACACCTGTTGATTGACAGTTGAGAGGCGGGACCAAAGAGCCAGAGGTCAACCCCCGCAAGCACAACTAGGTGAGCACACCCCCTGTGAGGTGCCTAGTTCAAAGTCTCTTGTTACACTCCTATGCCCCTGGAACACTACAGTTGACTTCCTGTTGAATAAGTAACCTCTGGCTCTACAATGAAGCCGACCATCAATATTTATTGAGGCGAGCTGACTCGGAATGACATGTCGGTTTGTACTCAAAGGCAGAGTTAAGATCTAGGACGGTGGTATATGACTGTTCGTTGTGCAGGGTGAGAAGGGGAGGAGAAATGTTGTCATACAAGCTCCTTCCGTGCATGAAGTCTTATATCTGAGGGGAAAACATGCTTCTTATTCTAGGGAAGAGACGGTTTCGAATCGTTCTCTTGAATGTTTTACAAAGACAACTCGTAAAGGAAATTGGGTGGAAAGCATTCTCTTGATTAGGCTTGGGAATTGGAATGGTGATACTGTTGGTCCACGTGACAGGAAGTTCCCCAGTAATATAGTTCATATTATACAGCTAAAGTACGGAATTTCCTGGTACCAAAGGGAGCAAACGTATTATGTCATAAGTAATGCCATCGTCGCCAGGGGATGGAGGTGTTATCATTGTTCAGGGCCGAAAGTAACGCAAACTCGATAAATAGAATGTTTCATTTTTTTTTAAGAGAGATAATCCTGCGCGGACCCTAAGCCTCTGGCTGGCCCACTAACAGCTGGAGGGGGCCGGAGTCTGGCTGTGTGCTCTGTGTCGAGGCTGAAGCGTCTTGTGAGGGAAGGAACTGGACACGGCGAGTGTTGTTGGTGAATACTGAAGATGTGCGGTATCTCTGATTGATGATTGATGAAGATTAAGCCACCCAAAAGGTGGCACGGGCATGAATAGCCCATATTAATGATGATTGATTGATTGACGAAGATTAAGCTACCCAAGAGGTGGCACGGGCATAAATAGCCCATAAGAAGATTATTTGTTGTTGTTGTGTTAGATTCAGCTACTCAGAACAAAATTTCGGGGCTATGGTGAGCCTGTAATTGAGTTCGGTTATTCACGATAACTTTGTTACTGTGATATCTGGGTCAAAGTTTTAAATGAAGGTAGAGTTCGTATGTATTCGCACTGATTTTAGTCTTTTGTTTTAATAAGGTTATCTTGGTGGAAGCTATAGATGCACAGTGTTCATTCTTCACATTCTTCAACTGCTTTTTTTAACCATTGTAGTCGCTATGAATTTTCCCTCTAATGCAGCTGCTCTTGTTGACTGAATGCCGAGTTTGATGTGAAGGGCTTCAGTTGCTTCACATTCCAGTCAGTAGTGCAATATTGGCGCCTCTGCTTCTGTTCCACAGATATGACATTCTTTAACTATTAGGTTTATTGCCTCCCAGAAGACTTGTAAGCAAGTCGAAGTCTGTGTATGGCTACTGCAGTATCTCTGGATATCTTTTTGCCAGGCTTGAAAGAGGAAACCCCAATGGCTT